GGGGGTGAGGGCTGATGGAAGCAGGGGGCTGGGGGGGCAGGAGAAGAGACCTACCCTGTAGGAGAGGTAGAAGCCATCATTGGCACCTGTCAGTTCTAGTGACTTGGCGAACGCTTCTTCCCACCGGAGGCCGCGGTCCACACTGATCTGCCCCAAAAGAGATCCGTCACAGGGGGCAGAGATGGGGTGGACTCAATGGAGGTGGCCCAGGGCAGATGGGGAGACAGAGCTGAGGTGCAGGGGAGAGGCAGAGCCAAGGTAGAGGGGGACATGGGGTGGGGGGAGAGGAGAGGAGAGGCAGAGCCGAGGTGGAGGGGGACATGGGGGGAGAGAAGAAGCAGAGTTGAGGTAGAGGGGAGATGGGGATGGGGTCAAGGGCAGAGCCGAGGTGGAGGGGGACAGAATGGACCTAGGGCCCCGAGCCCAGCTGGGCCGGGGATGAGTGGCGCAGACAGGCCTCACGGTGGTTCCTCCTCACCTTGTAGAGGACCACTTGTCCATCTTGGGGGTGCCCAGGAGTCAGGAACACCTGCCGGCTCTCCTCATAGATTTCATCGACACCCGGGGCCAGGTCTGGGGGGACCAGGCATGGGATAAGAGGGTCCTGCCCACGGACTCTGCTCCTCACCCCTGGGAGACCCTGCTCTACCACCTGGCATCCCCTGAGGTGACACCAAGCAGGCAAAGGCCCAGCCTTGTGTAGTTACACCAGAAGTGTCCAACTGGAGCCCAGCTCCAGTGAGGGGACAACCTGGGACCCACCCAGATTCCCACACCCTCCATCCCCTGGGCGCCCGGCCCTCTGGTCCCCACATGCCATCTTCCCCTGTCCTAGAACTTCACGTCCTCTCCACAGGCCCTGAACCCCTGACCACATGCTGTCACTCCCTCACCCGGCGTCCTCACCTCTGGCACTCCCTCAGAGGCGCTGAACCCTCCCCCAGGACGCCCGCCCACATCCCTTCCTCTCTCCCTCCCCTCCCAGGACGCCCGCCCATGTCCCCTCATCCTTCCCCCGGCCTTCCCCCCTCCGCCATCCCCCTCACCCAGGATGCCCATGTCGTATTTGCCCTCCTTCTTGTCAGCAGCGATGAGGTGCTCGAAAGTGTCTGAGAAGTACTGGAAGAGGGCGTTTTGCTTGCGCACCTCCAAGCCCAGGATGCGGTTGAGGAACTTGGTGATGGAGCAGTCTGGGTGGGCAGACAGAGCATCAGCGAGGCCCGGCCCGGCTCCCTGTCCCTCCTGGCAGCCCCAGGACACTTACCCTTCTCCACGTCCAGGCAGCCAGACCTGGACTCCCGGCCGCTGATGCCGACGGACAGCAAGCCCTGCTTCATATCTGCAGGTGGTGAGAGACGGGGCCTCTGCTTAGCACACTCAGCTCGGGGACCACCCAGGGCACTCCCGGAACCCACCCGGGTCTCCCGCTCTGAAGGACCGTGGACATCCTTCAGGGGAACTGGGGTCCACTACCCTGCGGGCATGAAGAGCCCACTGGGGTGAGATCTTGGGGATGAGGCCTTGACCTCTGGACCCAACAGAGTCTTTGGGGACCACTGCCCCTAAATCCTGGGAACCTGCCTCCTTTGTTCTGCCTGCAGGAGTGGGGCAGAGAACACCCCTTGCCTACCAAAAGCCCACCTTATGGCCTGCTCCTGGGCGGTGGGGCGTCTCCCTGGCACTCCCTGTGCCAAGTCACGTCTGGGTGCGCCTATCCTCCCGCCCCCAGCCCTCCATACCCCGGCTCACCCCGGAAGAAGGCCGTGTCCCCGCCGGGGTAGCCCCGGGGCAATGGCACCTTGTTTTCCGTCTGGCTCAGGATGGTGGTGAGGACACAGTGCAGGGCACGGGTGCCGTACTGAACCAAGAAGAGCTGCTGTCAGAGAGGCGGGCTCAGCCGTCCCACCACCTCTACCCAGTTCCCTTGCCAGCCACCAGTACCTTGTTCTCAAAGTTGTACTTGCTCAGGTCCCGAGACTCAGTGGCCCTTCGGTCTCCGTGGGTCAGAGCTCCCTGTGGGGAAGGGCGAGGACAGAGCTGTCCACATGCCCACCACTACCGCACGTCACTACCCCTGCCACATGTCAGCACCTCTGCCAAACGCCACTCGGCACCAGACCTGTCTCCTCACCCCCTGGGGGGAGAGGCGAGGCTTCTGCAGAGCAGCCCATGTGCCCACCCCTGCTGCACCACTTGGCACTGGACCTGTCCCCCACCCCAGGCCTCTCCAACCAGCCTGCAGACTCCCCTCTCCTCCAGAAAGCCCGCCAGGCTCTGAATCCGCACTCACAAGGCTCTCCAGGCGCTTGGCAACGATGGAGGCAAACCTCCGCTCCCCAGCCAGCTCCGAGATCAGGAAGACATACTCAGGCGCTGAGACCTGGTTGGACCGGTGGGTCCGGCCTGGGGGGCAGGACAGGCTATTGGAGCTGCAGCTCAGGACTGAGGCCTGTGTGGCCTCCTGTTGCCCGTGGAGCAGGGGTGGGCCCATAGGGACAGGGCTGAGCTAGATGAGACTGGACTTATGGGGAAAAGCTCATGGGACAGGGCATGCCTGCCCCCCTCCTTCGCAGGGCGAGCCCAGGACCGGGCAGCCCCCCCCCAGCAGGGTAACCCAGGACTGGGCAGGTCCCCCCAGGGCAGGGTGGGCCCACAGGGCAGGGCCTACAGTGCAGGGACAGAGCTATCAAAGGCAGCAGTGAGGGACAGGGAGGAGCTCACACAAGGACAGGCCACTGGGGTGGGCCTCAGGGCAGAGGTCACCTGGTGGGGCAGATGGGCTGGGGCCGCAGGGCAGGGCTCACCAAACTGCTGGATAGCCCTGTCGGCGCTCCAGGGCAGCTCCAGTGTCATATGTACGCGGCGCTTCTGATTCTGAACCCTTCGGTCCGCTTGCAGAGAAACGCCTGAACTAGAGGCCTCTGAGATGATGGCCACGAGCTGTAGCCAAGAATGTGGTGGTCAGAGCGAGCCCAGGAGAAAGGCCCGTGGGTCGGGGGCATGGCTAACCTGCCCCTTGGGGAAGGAGCCTCCAGACCCGATTCCATCAGACCCAGGAAGCAAGTCTGGGGCTTTGTGTGTAGTGGGGCCCGTGTGTGCCCAGGGCTGGGACTGTGGGGTCCAAGGTCCCTGGGGAGCTGCTTTGTAAAGGTCCCTGAGTCAGCTGTCTGGGTGGTAACAGGCTGACCACATGTGTGGACACTCTGTCCTATCTGTCCTACCAGGAAGCTAGTCTGTCCGGTGCCTGGTCATCTACCCTCAGGATCGCAGGTACACGTTTTAACTGTGGGAGGGAAGCCAACTTTCCACAGAGCATCTGGTGGGTCTGACAAGCCCACCTTTCGGTTAAGAGACCAACTGTATGGCTAGAGCTTCCACCTTTCTGTACAGAATGCCCAGTGGATTCCAACTGCCCAGCTTCCAGCCACCAGACAGACCAGGCATCCTGGAGAACTCCCTGGACAGCCTCGTGCCAGGAAGCCTCAGAAGCCCTACTCACTGCCCAGAATCTCCACCCACTGGCCCACGTCCCCATCCACAACCCAAGTCTCCGCCCACAGCCTCAAGTTCCCGCCCAGCACCAGCCCAGTCCCTGCCCACCACCCCATATTCCCCACCAACCTCCTCATAGTCTACCCACTGTATCAGTCCCCGCCCATCACACCATACCCTGCCTGCAGCACCCCAGTTCCCGCCCCTCACCCCGGTACCCTGCCCGCAGCACCCCAGTTCCCGCCCCTCACCCTGGTACCCTGCCTGCACCCTG